CTATGCTATTTATAAAGTCTCTCATTAATATATTTTCGTTAGATCCATATGTGAAATTATAAATTCAGAACACTATATCATGTAAACTATGCAAGATAAATTAATACGAAACGAAACATTATTTCACATTTCCCCAAATGAAATATATCAATTTTAGCAACCAAATTTGTATATCTTTTGTTTCTTTCCTCCAAAGTTGTTCCGCTTTTTCATCATCATCATAGTTTTCTTTAGTAAGTAGTCTTGAACGGCTTGTAAACCTTAAGGTCAAGCATTACTCCGGCGATGGAGCCAACTCCGGCGACCACCGTAATAGCTAAACAACCACAACTCAACATTTGCAAACAAACCCATCTCATACTCCACCTCTCAACCTTTCTCTGTTTTATATACATCTCCACCGGAAAATAAACCGTCAACGGCCAAAACCCTAAAGCTCCCAAAAGCCCGACGACGTCATTAAAGAACGGCATAAGCATCGATATCACCGTGGTCAAAACCACGAACCCGGACCGGAAAACCGCTCTGAAAACGTTGACTTTGTACGGTGACCTAATACCGGGGATTCGGATTTCGAATTCCTTGGTAACCAAGTCATTGTCTGGAAACCTAGCCGCGGCTTGTTTTTCGACAAAGGCGAAAATGGGCTGAGCAAAGACTTGATAAGCTCCTACGAGGTGAACAACAATGGCGGCATTGGCCACGTCAAGGAGCCAAAACGGATCGTAGAAACCGAAACCGGTTAAGAGGTTTCCTGGTGCTGCATCTCCAAAAGCGGCGTATCCCATACATCCACATAGCATGTAAAACGTCGTCGTAACGGCGATGCTGATTCTCGTGGCTTTCTTCATCGTTTTTGATTCCGCTGGTGGAGATCTCACAGTGTCCTAATCAAAAGAAGATGAAACAAGTCAGAAACTTTGTAAAATCTTTTATACAATCAACTATTCTGCTATTTCACTATTCATTTGGTCTTTATTTTACCTGAATTTCGATAAGAACAACAGAATATGAATAAGCAAATGCAATATCTCCAAGAGCTTGGAAGGTTCTCCATATCTTTTGAGTCTGAGTCACTGCTCCGATGCTAATTCCGGTGAGACTTCCCTTGAAAACCCCATTTGCTGAAACCCATAAGAGTTAGTTAAACCATCTGGTTTTGTTGGTTATTGTGAAGAATATGTTCGAAGTTTCTGTTTTTACCTGCGACCTGAATGATACCGAGAGCTAAACCGATTGCAGAGTATGTGAAGGACATGATCGCCGCGACTATTGAGAGCCACCAAATCTGATCAAAATCTTTGATCTGAGAAAGCAAGATCTCTGTAACACCAAACATGATCATGTACGGATTGCTCGACATGTGACACGGGTTCTTTCCTCCGCTCTCGTGGAAACAGTTCGATCTCTTGATCGCCCTGCAAGCACGATCCGGAAAAAACACCAAACTTTTAAAGGCTTTTTATCTTCATCATTCAGTTACAAAAGAAACTACTTTGTGAGAAAGAGAGACTCACATCATGCTTATAGATGCTGCGATTGTGTATCCGACAGTGATACCGAATAGATTCAAGTACTGAATCATCCCACAAACCTTGAACCTAAACCCACCTGTCAGAAACAGAGCATCTCAGAACACATTACAGAGCAACCAAAACCGTATATATAGAGAAAAACAGAGAATGGATAGTTAATACCGAGGATTGATCGGACAGCATCCATGTAAGTGTAGTTTCTCTTCCCGGAGACATGATCTCCGGTTCTGTAGCAGTCACTGAGAAGAGTGGAAGAGTAGTAAGTGACAAAAGAGAACAAGAACATCACTGTAGGACCAGCGATCCAACCGAGTTGACCTATAGCCCACGCAAGCGATAGAACGCCAGATCCAATCACCGCGGTTATAATATGCGCACTCGCGGTCCAAACCGTCCCTGAAATAGAACGAAAAATCGCTTATCATCTCACAGTTACAACTTTCTAAAACCCGAACCATTCATTTCATAGGTTTAGTTACAATTTACCTGATCGTTTAAGGCGGCCATCGTCATCGAAACATTTGAAAGCTGGCCGTGGAACATCCATCTGTGTTTTTTAGTAAGAAATCAAAGTTATGAGTAATCACTAGTTTGAAATACTGTTATAACTAACGAAATTTGGCGGTAAATAGTTTCTATATAAAACAAAAAACATGAGAGATAGTATAGTTACAGTACCTCTCCTTATTGAGCTATGCACAAAACTTAACTCGAAAAAAGAATAGCTATGAACAAAGAAAGAAATGCAAAGGAAATGGGAGGTGAGAGCAATTGCTACTGCATTTTGATTGTTTTGGTTCATCATCTTATATAAGCCATCAAAAGTGGGGGAATCTTTTCTACTTTCTTATAAAACAAATTAATATTTTACAGGTAAGATTTATGAAATTCGGCCACATAGCAATACACATTTATATAATAATTCTTTATATGATATGCGCATTAGGGTATCCACCATATTTTGACCCGATCATATGTGTATATATAAAACGTGTTTTTTGTAAACCATTTCTTAAGTTAAAAAATGGTTTAGAATATTTTTCAGTATATAAAAAAAATGCGTGTGAGTGATACAAAGAATTCAGCATACATATTGCAAAAAAGTTTTATTTTGCAGTCGGACGATGAATAAAAAATACTAAAAATATATATAGTTTTCTTCTCCCATCTTTCATTCTTTTTGTGTGTGTGAGTGATAATAACGTATAATCTTCTTCTGACATGCATTGCAAAGATCATGCCATTCCCATGCATGGCTCAAATAGATCAAACCTTAAAGTTATTAATTCACAAGCTGAATCCAAACCTCGTGTACGAACTCAGTCCTGCTAATTTAGTTGTGTAGGCGATTTCATTATATGAATCCCAAACGTCATACTTCTGGAATAGATCGATCGATTTCTGATCCTAGATCTATATTTTGTACGTCGATGTCTTTGAATTGATATGTATTGACTCTAGTGAAACATGGGCGATGAACAAGTACTAACATAATAACATCACAAGGGAATAATATTTTACTCTTTTGTCTAAACGATCAATATGTATATATAAGTGGGGTTTAAATGTTTTCTACATTCTTTAGTGAAAGATACGTATAAAGAAAGAGAATCAAATGCTTGTTTTACGCCTCCATACCTTTTGGTTCGATCTAAATCACTCATTTAAATTTGATTAATAGTAATTAGTAAGTAACAAAATTCATTCTTACTACTTCAAAAGCTTCAAGCCCTAGTCTATATTAAGAATAATGAATTATTATATATTAGAGGATATGCCAAATTTAGGTTTTAATAATTCATTTCATACTAGAAAGAATATAATAATATATGGCGCATTATAATTTTGATATATTATAAAATTAAATGTTCCTCGATTTGAAATAATATTGTGAAATATCTACGAACATGCATAATTGCATACCATGTATAGTATTTCAAAGTTTTTTTTTTTTAAATACAGCATTTCATAAGGTTCATGCAGGGACGGAGAATTATACTCTCTTCATAAAAAAAAATTGATTTGATAACCAGAGATCCAGAGTATTTTAGTGTTACTTTTCTTATATGATTTTTTCGGTTTTAGAAGAATAGTTCTTAAGGTAAAACT